TTTATTAAATCTACAAAATTTTGTCCAAAATTGATGGTTAATGCAAATTAGAATTAAACGTGAACCGATTTAGTGAAAAGTTGATCTAAGTTCATTTATATTCTGGAAAAAAATTAAGAGATCACTTAACATGTATCAGTTTCTCTCTCGTTGTTCTTTTTTTTTCTATGAGCTACTGACATCAGTTCCAAGCAAAAATGTAGTTTTGCTTTGCAGAAAACAAGAAACGGTCCAAATAACGAAAAAGATGCAGCAATTTCAGACCTCAAATAATGCAAAGAAAACAAGTTCACACTCAATTAGAAACAACAGTTCTAATGTTTTAATATATTTATGTATTTGCCACCTTGAAGATTTCTTTTTTTTATTTTCACACTAAATGTTTCAGATCGTTTTGACAAAGATAAACTGAGTAAATATATATATATATAAAAAGGCAATGTTTAAATAATGATATAAATTTTAAAGGAGGGAGTTCAGCCACACTGGCGGATTTTTGAGCATAAACAGCAGATTTAACATCCCGCAACAGCAACGAAGCTGTGTTTAGGTTCAGTCTTTGACTTGGCCACTCTTTTTTGTTGTTGAGAATTTCAAAACAGGCTTCACTTGAGCTCAACACCCTGAATCGATGATCGCTGATTCTTCTTCTTCTTGTTCTTCTTCTCTATTTTCTGCTCTGGTTCTGGCTCCGGTCTGATTCAAGTTCTGTTGATGCTCCAGGTCCAGCAGTGGTCAGGTCTGGGTGTGGACAGTGAAGCTTCACTAGAAATGTGTTAATTCATCATAGCTTGAAAACCGAGATGCTGTATATCATATTACCTGTTTGGTTTGATTGCTGATCCGAAACATTGAAGTGAGTTAGACGGAGATGCAACCTATAATTAAGGTTATAGTTAGTTTGGAGTACCTTGTCGTTTCAGTTTATTTGTTTCAGCCAGTTTTGTGTTTTATTGACAGGTTTCCCTGTCATCCGTCTCTTTCCCCTTCTCGTTTATTCTGTTATTTTGCGCCTCCTTCCCTCTGTTGCCTGCACCCCTGCTGCGTCGCTCACTGACTGTTTCCATTTAGTTAATCAGTCTCACCTGTTCCTTGTAGCAATAATCACCTTCCCCATATATTCCTTCCTTGTCATTCATTGTCACATCCCCCCTGTTGTTTATCCTGTTGTGCTTCACTCCCAATCCATCCCCTAATTTTGCTTCATTTTGTCACTTCTCTGCTCTTCCTGGCTGTTTACTGGTTTGGTTTCTCTCCCTGTGTCCCCTCTGTTTGGATTATCATTTGTGATCTTATCTTTTCTGTTTATTGTTTCATCTTCTTCTTCCAGTCTGTGTTTGGCCTCTTCGACGCTAAAACCAGCCCGCGGCATCTCTTGGGCGCTTTAGAGAAAATGGCTCTGTGTAAACGAATGGACTTAATTGCACATGATCCCTCACACAGAGAGTCAAACCACCTCAGTGACGGCAGAGCTTTACAGTGAAATACAACGAAGCAGCGCCGTCATGTTGAGTATGAATTTATTTGTGCTTTAGAAAATAACAGTTGGTTCATTGCAATGCGTCTGATTTGTTTTTTTTTTACTTAGTAGAGAGCTGAAACTGGGAATCGTTCTTTAGCAGCTGCTTGATAGTCAACAATTGCTGAGAGGCAGAGCCAGCCCAAAACATGTTTGAACCAAGCGGCTGCTTAGGGCCCACAAACCACGAGGGGGTTCCCATAAATCCTTGAATTTAAACATGCATAACATGTTTATTGACAAAACAAAAATGAAGTTTGATTCAACAGTTTCAGCACAGACAAATTAATTTTTTTTTAACTTTAATTTAGGATCCAAAGAAATTGAGGCGTTCACTTTGTGCAAAGAATAATCTTCATTGTTAGTTGTGTTCGCATAGTTGCAGTCTGATGCTATGACTCAGCTTTTATTTGTGTTTGATCTTGATTTGTTCTTAGCCAACAATATCCAATTAACCGTAATACTAGTTGAGCTAATTAAACTTGGCCCTCTGTAGTGGTGGTGATGTAGTTAACAGGAAGACGGGACCCAAATAAAAGTTTGACCCAGGGCCACATAAAAGCTTAGTCCACCCCTGCTGAGGGCAACAGGTTGCCGAGCAGCGGCAACAAAGTAACAAACTGCCTAGTCAACAAAGTTGTCAAAATAACAACAAAACTTTACACAAAAGGAAAAGGGGGTATGTAGAAAGTTGTGAGAGTAGCTACTCTACAACTGTGACTTACATCATGTAACAAAGACAAAAAAATAGAAAATAAAGCCTTATTTTTTTCAGTGAGCTAGCTAGTATGACTAGTACGACACATCTTTGCTATACACATAATCTGTGTTATGCTAGGTACGTAAAAACATCAAAGCTGGTTATAAGGCAGCACCAGCGGTACCGTAGGGATGTACAGGTGTGCTCAAAATAGCGGCAGCCGAACGTCACTTGTTAGTGGAAAAGGTGCGTTGAAAATAGTAACAGTGGAGTTCAGTCAACGAGGTCAGTCACAACAGATGTGAACCAGGTGGCTCCGATTTACGACGAAGACAACAGATGCTGTGTATGCTGATCACAGTTGTTTTTTTTTAAATTATTTCAAATGAAGGACAAAACAACAAACTACGTTGTTGCAGCACTGTGAGCGCTGCAACGGGAAGACAGCAACATCTTCAGAGCTACGAAGAGCTTAAAGTTTGACAAAGATTGCAACGACAAGTTAAGAGTCTGTGGACCACTGAGAGCAACTTTGATTGTGTTTTTTAGTGAGCTAGCTGATATCTAAGTGAGACCAGTGTCCAGTTTAAGTGTCGTAAATCTTTTCATGTCGCAGTAACCTCACAGCAGGGCTAATGTGGATTAAAAACGGAAAATATGTTTGGAAATTACAATCTTAGAGACATTTAGGTGTAATTCTCTTCTTGACTGAGACGCTCTAAGCTGGGCAATTGTGGCTGATCCTTTTGTCATTAACCAGGTGGAGGTCATTTCAAACGCTGAAACGGTTTTTAGACAATCCATGTCAATACAAGAAACTCACTCCAAAAATATAATGCAAAAATAAAACAAGGCACAACTAAAGAGAGAGCGGGAACCGTAGACGATTGGTCAACAGTTTGCAAGAGGAAAATGAGACTCCCGAGTTCAGAAAAATTCAAAAACCCGGCGGTCCGTTCAGGACCGCAGCAGTGAATAATCAAAGGTTTCTTTTCATGGAAAAGAATAAAAAAATATTTCCCAGCATCCCAGTAAATGAAGGACTCCTCAGGAGGTAGACAAATGGTTACACAAGGCTCTTTTAAAGGCGAGACGTCCAGAGTGAGAAACACGGACGATTTTATCAAGGCTGAAAAATATTCAGAAGTCTGAAGAATACAAAGAACAGGTTTGACTATATATATATATATATATATATATATATATATATATATATATATATATATATATATATATATATAATCTATTAAGTTTTATATTAATATAAAATCACCAATGTTACAATATGTGTATTTTCATAAAGATATTATGCAATAGACCAACACAAAGCTTCACTTTACTGTAGAGACGTAGGACATTTATGTCATCAAAATTTCTTTATGAATAATTTGTATTCAGTCTAACAGAGTCAATTCTTTCTTAACCAACTTTCGCTGCTGTTGCATTTAAGAGTCTCTTGCACAAATTCCTCTTTATAAAATATCTAAAGCTCAGTCAGGTTGGACTGAATATCAAGAAATACTTTTATTAAAGGTACAAATCTATTTGCAAAAAAAAAAACAACACAACAACAACAAAGAATCACAAAGCTGCTGACAAATATTTTGCATTGCACTAACTTTCACACATTGTTCACCGCCGACCTCTGCCCCTAATGTATTTATTTATAATTTATTTATTTTACAATAATCTGCTGGTGTCATAACTTCCGCCCTCGGCTCTCACCGGGACCTCAGGCATCATGTTTTCGCCTCATTAGAATCAGGCTCTGATCCCCCAGGAGGACCGCAGCTACTGACAAGGTCAAAGATTATACAAGTAAAAACTTCTAATTAGGTAACAAAAAAACCCCAACATGGACACACGCTGCCTGCCGCTCCTCCAGCCGTGGATGTTTGCTTCTTCTCCGACCATCCTGCGGCGGCCCGCTGATTAGCATGCTAAGCAGGAAGAAGAAACGCAATCCGGCGCATGTTGTAGTTTAGCCTCTATCTGCCGTTCTGTCCGAGGCCAAGAGTTCAGTCTATATTCAGGAATCATATTACTGTTGTTCTCTTGTAGCCCATTCGCCTGCATCCCTTATGTTCCCCCCTCATGAAGCAGCCCTGGGATCAGCCTCGCCTCCAGTCAGCTGTTTACCTTGTTACGCCCGATGTGGATGAGGCCGTTGTTCTCTGCAGCATCATTTATTTAGGATTAATGAAAAGTGGCCTAAACTGAGTGTAGCCGTCTGCCTTTGCACACGAGTGAGTGTGTGTGTGTGTGAGAGAGAGAGAGAGAGAGAGAGAGAGGGAGAGAGAGAGAGAGCGATGGTGTGATGGTGGATGGTGGGAGATTAAGGCTCTTTCATGGGTCAGCGGCCAGTTTCGCCTCTGGCTAATTGTGGACTTAAAACACGAACTCTCTCTGATAACGCGCTCACTCCCTCCCAGACAAAATAAAGGCGGCGTATCTCTCCTCCTCGCTCCCCTTTCCTTCCGTCTTTCTCCTTGAGACTGCCCTGCGCCGTCGCCATGGCAGCAGCAGATTGAGTGATTTTTCACTGCACGGATTGTTCAATTGTTATCTCTGTTTTTTGCTCTCTGCCTCTCCCTATTACTCTGTCTCCCTTCCTGCTCTGCCATGTTGTTTCACGTGCATCCATTTCATTTTCTGTGTGGGTTACCGATCATCCTGCATCAGCTCGCGCACACGCACGCACGCACGCACGCACACAAACAGAAGACAATGCAGCTCTTCACTCTCATTTTTTACCGATGCTCTCTCTGTCTCCCTCCCCAGGGTCTCAAATTGCAGCTGCTGGTGTGAAGTCCCAGCTCTTCCTGCTCAGCATGGCCGTGTCTCTGTGGTGCATGGCAGTGGGGGTTCTCACCCTGGCTCAAGTCGCCCCCTCTGGTCAAGGTAAGTTTGATAGTAAGAAAAAAGTAAATAAATTAAAAAGTTAGTGGTGCTAAAATTAGAGGAATATTCAGTTAGGGCTAGAGCTTTGGATTTCTTTTTCAATTTTGAGTACTCTGCTGTGCTCTGTCACCAGAACATTTTTGCTTTACTGAGATTGGGAAAAGATTGAGTACTGGTGAATGGAAGTAGCTGAAAAGCTCATATAATCAGTCCATTTTCACTCACAAAGGTTTAAATGCAACGCAGTATTCTAGCTGTCAAGCTGATATTCTTTGGACACATTCTCTGTCACATCTCTTTACATCTGTGTAAAATTAGTTTCCTTAGAAGACTTTAAATTTTTCTGCCCTAAGAATAGGATCAAATTACAATTTTAACCTCCATTTATAGTGAAGCTGGTTTTGCTAAGAATCAGCCAATCCCAATAATCATCTCAATGATTAATGCATTGCAAGTTTGGCGTCAGTTTTTAAATTTAAACCCACTTCATGACAATACGAAAGGCAAAATGTTTCAGTAAAGGCCAGTCAGTCAGACAGTGATGAGCTCAGCCTCTGTTTTTCACCACACAAGTGAATCAGAACTGTGACAAAAACAAAATCGTAATTTGGGACTAAAACTGTGACACTCAGGTGTGATTTTTGCCTAAGTTCTGATTAGCAGTGTTTACTCTAACATTCAGCCAGTGTCACTATAATATTTTACGTTTGTTGATCATTCTGTGGTTATGTAAAACAACACAGGAGGAAGTGGACCTGGTTGAAAATCTTCGTTTTCTACACATAATACGTTGCGTCAGTACAGTAATAACAAGTATGATGAAATCCTCTGTCAAACTCTAAGTCTGTCCAGAGTTATTTTCTCACAAGAGTTTTAGGTTTCTTCAAAGATATTTGAACGAACCCTGTAGTGAATGGAAGCACCTGAAAGTCCAAACTTTCCACATATAGTTACTTACGATTTCACTGATAACGGTCTAAGGGTCGAACCACTTCACTGTTATAAGATCTGCGAAGCTAAAGGTCAGTTGATCCTGGTTGATCCTCAGTACAGATCAGTTAACCAATCACATTCATCTATAAAATACCTTAAAAACAACAAGCAAAGTAAAACATCACAATTAGATTAATTTAAAGGAATAACAAAGTTAAAAAACAACAACACAGATATAAATAAGGAAAATAGATGCCACTAAAATAACTCACTTTGTCCAAAAGGCCAGGGGATAAACATGTGTTTTTAAATTAAACAAAAATAAAATAACTAATGACACCTGGAAAGATTTGAAGTTCAGCTATTCAGCACAGTGGACAGCGACGCGTCATGGCCGAGACACTCAAGAGCCGGCCTCCCTGCCGCGTGTGCACGATACTGGAGCCGAAGTGGGAAGCTGGATTACTGTGACGATAATGGGATTTTCTCCTGACATGTAAAGATTCACTTTGCACGGGTCGTGTTACAATACGGCCCTCGAAGAGGAGGAATCGAAACCTGCCAAGCTGTTTTGTTTTCACAACCTTCTGACAGAAAAGACCTTCATTCTGTCAAAAAAAAAAAAAAAAAAAAAACAGCAACAAGAAGAAAAACTAATAAACTTATCAGATCCGACGGCATGCAGAATCCAAAGTGCAGTTACAGTCCAGGGGCACGTGGTTTTAAAAATATATATTTTATATTCATTAAGAGCCTTATTTGTGGGACCAACATTGATCTTTGCAGGGTTTGAATTAGGCAATCTGAGCAAATTGTTACAACATCCACAGGGGAATCATTAGCATGTATCAATATTCCCAGGCATGGTAATTAATGACTGATGAAATCAGGACAGGTAATTAAAAGGAACTGGCTCAATTTCTCATGCAAATGTCTCTTTAGCATGAATATTGGTGCTCCGTTTGAAGCACAGAATGGAGCCTGGTGAAACCAAAACAAACCCACGCAGAACGCATGCAATAAACCCGAAGTTCTGTTATGTCAGAACATGGCTAAAAATGGACATATTTATTTAAAAAGTCCTTTTGTAACGCCATACTAGTTTTATTTAAATCACACTTTATATGTTTTTCACTTAACCCTTTCATGCATAGTGGTCACTACAGTGGACAGCTGTCTAAAAGCCATTTTCTTGTGCTTCTTGTGGATTTTTATGCACACAGACCACTGAAGTGGACACTAATGCATCATAAAATAAATGATCAACTACTGGCCATCAGCTGCAAATGCAATAAATTATTTTTGTTAAATCCAAAATGGGCGACAGGCAAAAAAGCATGCCGACCGACCCGGTCCCTCCTTCTACTGTAGACGGTAAAAAAAAAATATTGTGACATCAGATAACCCCTAAAGACCAATACTACTGATGTATTTTATTAATAACAACTTTGTATTTGGAGAAAATTACAATTGATCACCTAAAAAAAATTAAATAATAATAGAAAAATGTCCTACCTTTTTTTATGCCTTAAGAAAATTAAAAAAGATTGGAAAAATTCCTGACACAAAGGATCATAATTCATGCATGAAAGGTTAAATTCTGCACATTGGTATTCAGGTGTGACAAAATTTACAACCAGTACACAATAAAATCACTCTTTACCGGTCGTTTGTATTCATTAACAAAAGAGCTCAAATTTACCATGATTTATTCATGTCATATCCCCAGATGGAAAAAAAGAAAAAAAAAAAGCTTAAGTGTTTGCTTTACCTGGAGCAGGAGCATTTATCACAGCCCCCAAAAACTGATTCCAAAAAGGCTGCATATATACCTATTAGAGCATCTTGCACTAAAGGCTCCGAAACTGACAGGAGCACTAAAGTGTGGATAAAAGGAGGCGTGACGGATGCATTTTATCAGGCTTGGAAGGCGAGTGGCAGCTCATCCAGTGAGAACCAAGCTGGAATTTCAATGTGGATTTCATCTTTAAAGCTTGATACGCAGTCTCGGGGCGTTGCAGCCTTCCCTCCACTGGTTTTAAGCAAAGTGTCACATAAATCGACTTGGGAAAAGAATCCATTACCCTTGAACTTTTACATAGTTTTCACATTGCAACAAGGATTTTCAGTGTATTTCGTTTGGGATTCTGCGTAATAGACCAACGTGAAGAAGTGCATAGGTGTGAAGCGAGAGGAAAAAGACAAACCTTGTTTAGTGCCGTCCGTCGTCGTCGTCATCATCATCATCATCATCATCATCATCATCATCATCATCATCATCGACTCTGATCAACTTCTTTTTCTCCTACTGAAGAACAACATCACCGCAGCCTAATGCTGCCACCACCAGGTTTTCTTTGACGTCTTCCTCTCCACAGCTACCGCATGCAGTCATCGCAATTAAATTTGCGAGTCAGCAACCTTTGAAATTTGAAGAGCGATTGCAAAAGAAACATCTGATTAAAAAAGAAAAATCCTTGGTTTTTAAAATGCTAAAGGCTAGCATTTTAAAGAGTTTAACACTTCAGTATAATAAACACATTGAGCGCTAAAACGCACCTGATTGTGTGCTGCCTGAAAGAGGAGTTATGCAAACTACAGACTAAAGACTTAGTTCTGACTTTTCTCAGTCTTTATTACATCAAGGTGTTTCTTCTTTGTAAGCAATGCTGAATATTTAATGTTGTGCTTTGAAGTGGGGCCTCTACGCTCTTGTCACAAACAGGAATTTAAAACTTTGTGGCATCTTTAAAACATTCTTATTTTTCCTCTCACTAAAAGGTTATTTCATTGCAACGAAAACAACGTCGCTGCGTCCCTCACCTGTTTACAGAAACTGGTTGCCAGGTTGAAACCACCAGACTCTTAAGGAGGTTTCTCCAACAGTTGAACCTCACAATTTTCACCATTATTGACATTCTACTCCAGTGCCAAATGCTTTTAAACACACTGTTGTTCAAACCCTGCTGGCAAAGAACAAAAATAAAACAAACAAAAAAACACAAAACTGGCTTTGGCCCAGCAGCTTTTGCTAATTTTAGAAGTGAAGGGATTCCTTAAATCATTTTGGAAGTCTTCCAGCATGTTGTTTTTTTTTTTAGCTTTGTGCTTCTGCTTCATGTTCTGTTATATTTCACTGATAGCTTTGATACTCTGAGCCATATTATCATCTTTCAGCAGTGTGAAGGCATCACTGGTTTAGATCCTGCCTCACACACAGGAATGTCTGTGAGAGTTCAGAGTTCCCAGTTTCTCTCCCTTGGGGAGTACCGCAGGGCTCTGTGCTTTATCCGCTACTTTTCATGATCAATTTATCGCCTCTTGGCGCTATTTTTTTTTTTTATAAACCACGGCCTTTCATTTTTTATGCTGATGACTGCCAAGTTTATTTTCCTTTCAAGCGGAACAGGTCACCCTCTGCTCAACTTTGTCTGAGCTGCCTCGGCCACATGAGAGGGGATGGAGGGCGCTCCACTCGGGTTGCTTAAATTTAATGAAAGTTGTATCGACTCTGGCCTCAAAGTTGAGTCAATTCAGTTGTCAAATCCTGTTTTTGTTTTCCACCCGAGGCGGCTGGCCAAAATGAATTCTCTCCTTCCAACACCGCCACGCCTAGGGAGAGCATTTAGATTTCTGTAATTCTCTTTAAATTAGTCTTAGCCGTTCACAGTTGGCACAAAATGCTGCTGCAAGATTTCTAAATGACTTTCAACACCTGGCTCTCGATTTAATGCCTCGTCACTGGCTTCCTGTCCACGTTAGAATGTGTTTTGAGATAAACTTACTTGCTTTCAAAAGTTTAAATGGCATTCCCACCTTTTTTAAAATCTCTTCTCTATCTCATCGCACACTCTGAGCTTAGCTCATCCGATGTTTTAACTGTCTCCCAAAACCTCATCCAGGACCAGTTGCTCCTAATAGTCTGTCCACTTATCTTTCTATAAAAGTGAGCTATTTATCTGCTGTTCATAAATCTTAAAGTCACTTTTGCTCTGTGGTTTTAATCATACTTTGCTTTATTCTACAGTTGTTTTTATCTTCTCTGTTATTTTGGTTTTATTGTGCAGTCCTTTGGTCAGCAGTAATTGCTGTTTTTAAATGTCCTTTTACGAATACAGCGGATGGTATGTTAAAAAAATAATAATAAAGTCCAAAATTACTCTAAACATTTGGACAGGAAATCCAAAAACGCTTCCCAATGTGTAGCATTTTAAAATCCCAGTTTTTGTTTTTTACACTTAATGATAAATACTTTTAGCTGCCATCTTTATGTGTTGTGCATCACGAAGCGCAGCGCTGGTTTCATGAGTCATGCTCGGTATTTTTAATTTGTTGTTCTGACTCAATTTCCATTAAGCCTAAAGTATGAAGAAAAAAAATTGTCAAAGAAATGATGAGCTTCAAGTGTTTTGAGGGAATAATGAGCCTCTTTAAGACATTATGAAGAGGCTCTTTGAAATTTCATCTATTCATTTATGTCCATGTTTTTCCACTTTCTTGTGCTGCGTCTGGATTTAAAAACATTTTGTTTTAGCACCTTTGCGACGACGATTTTTAGAATGAAAATTGTTCAAATAATTGCTAACTGATCATGAATTTGATTTTTCCTCATGTCTTTCTGCATCCCCCCCATACATTCCTTTGCATTGGCGCTCTCTCTCTCTCTCTCTCTCTCTCTCTCTCTGTCTCTCTCTCTCTCTCATGCAGCCATGTCTCGGGCCGCCATGCCGTTCGGGCTGCTGCGCAGGGAGTTGGCGTGCGAGGGCTACCCCATAGAGCTGCGCTGCCCAGGAAGTGATGTTGTGATGGTGGAGACGGCCAATTACGGACGCACCGACGACAAGATCTGTGACGCCGACCCCTTCCAGATGGAGAACACACAGTGTTACCTTCCTGATGCCCTAAAGATCATGTCCCAGAGGTTTGTATCCGCTGAGCTGTGTGATTTGTTCGCTGGGTGAGGAGAATAACGCGTGCTGCCTCTCTTACCTTACATCGCGTTACAAACAAGGACTTCCTGTTTCGTGTTGGGATCTTGTTTGACAGGCCAACTGAAAATAGCACGAAACTGCAAAGTGAAAAAAAAAAAAAAAATCAGGTACGGTTTTCAAATGTTCTTACTCTTAGTGAAAAATCTGAAATTTAGGGCACGCACATTCAGCTTCTAGATGAAATCCAGTGCAAGCAAGTACCTCAAAGGGGAACGGGATGTAAAATTTGCATTTTGCAGGTTTTTGCTTCTCAACTGCGTCTAAAAACAGCAAAAGCTCCGACAAAACAAAACAAACACCCAGCCATTTTTTTAAATCAAAAAATGAAAGTTTTTTTTGGTCTCTCCCAGTTGTTATGCCGCAATCGACAGGCACTGTAACGTTACCTAGCAACCCCAGCCGAGCTCCAGCACCTTTTGTCAGCTGGTTTTACCACTGCATGCACTGTATAGTGGCTGCTGGAAAAGACAGGTGTTACGTTGTTGACTTACCATTCAGAAACCACTTGCTGGATTCTCCTTGGTCGCGCATGAGGCTCCATTTATGCTTTTCAAAGATGCCCGGTTGTGCATTTTCACTCTCCAGATCTGAGTCAAAGGTCCTCCAGCTGTATTTACATCTAAAGGGGGTTCTACAAACACTTCACCGAGTGGGGCTCTACACATTTACATGCACGCCACACTTTTCAGACTTTTTAAAAATCATACAAAACTTCAAAAACCACACATTCTTTTTTCTACGTGTCACAGTTGTACGCAACTTTCTGTCACCAGTAAAAAAAAAAAACACTCAATTTTGTTTCTGTATCATGACAAAATATATTTATATATTTAAAAAAAAACCGTCAACGAGGCATTTGAGCAACGCCAGAAATTCTGAAAATTATGACCTTATTTCAACATGTGAGGGCGCTCTGGATGGAAGCAGGTCAACTGTTTAACGCTATTGCTGGTTTGTGCACAGCGTGTCGGTGTGTTGCCGTACATAATAAATGTGGATTAGTTGGAAACTCTACACCAAACCAATACTTGGGCTTGTGTGTCGTGTGTGTGTGTAAGTACTGCAGAATGTTTAGCTGTGTACTCAGCAGCGTTTTCCTCGAAGAACTGATCAATATTCAGCGAGAGAGAGAGAGAGAGAAAGAGAGAGAGAGTAGGCCAATGGCCCATCCTTCGCCTCTTCTTTTTCTGTGCTACTCCCTCGACTTCCTTTCTCTTCCCCTCCCTCTAACTCCATCAGTTTCATCGACCGACTCATCAATCCGTCCGTTCTGTTCCTCAGATGTAACAACCGGACTCAGTGTGTGGTGGTCGCTGGGGTCGACGTCTTCCCAGACCCCTGCCCCGGAACGTACAAGTACCTGGAGATCCAGTACGAGTGTGTCCCTTACAGTGAGTACGCGTTAATATGCAATTCAACACACACAAACACAAAAAACAAACAAAAAAAGACACAGTAACACACACGAAACACAGATTTAACCTACTTATGTCATGATGCAGGTTTGATTTTTGATCTTTCACCTTCTGATGTCAGCTATTTCCCCGAGAGATTGATGGATATATATATATATATATATATTTTTAAAAGTGAGATGTTTTATGAGATGTTTTTTTTTCTCAGGAAGAGTGTGTGTGCATGTTGGTGTGTGTGAATCACAAACAGAAAGTAGGATGGAGAGAGAGGGGGAGAGGGAGGGACAGGGGGTGCAGAGAAAGGGAGAAAAAAGGAAGAAAACAAACCGTGGGGCATTTGCAAATTGTCATAAAATGTCACACGTGTCTGCAAGCGTGTAGGTGTGTGCGTGTGTGTGTGCGTGTGTGTCTGCGGGAGGGGGGGTAAGCGCTTGAGTGTGCACGCGTGTGTGTGCTTCTCTTTTGCAGATTCACGCCACAGGAGTTGCTCTCTTTTCTCCACAGGAGCCTGATTGAGGGAAGGAGAGATCGGGGGGAGGGGGGAGGAGGAAGAAAAACGGGGGGATAATTGGGGGAGGAGGGGTGAGGGAGGTGGTGAGGGGTGAGGAGGAGGAGAAGAGCGGAGTATGTCGGGGTTTCTTTATCTTTCTCTTTTTTCTTTTTTTTTCTTTCTTTTTTTTACATGAACAATAATGTTTGTGGTGAGAATGAGCTCCGAAATCTTTATCTGTGCAACTTTTTCTTTCTTTTTCCTCCTTTCTTTGCTTCTTTCTTTCTTTCTTTCTTTCTTTCTTTCTTGCTTTCCTTTTCTCTTTCTCACTCTCCCCTTCTTTCACCCTCTGACTTTTCTTTCTTTCTCTCCCTCTTTTTTTTCCTATGCTTGAGTAGAAGTGGACCAAAAAGGTAAAGACAAAACATTGTAGCATCTTGATCTCTCCTTACCCCCAGCCCCCCCCCTTTTCTCTTCTTCTTCTTGTTCTTCTTCTACCTCTCCACTCTTCTCCTCTTCCTCTATCCTATCATTTCTCTCCTCCTCCAACCCTAGGACGTTGTTTCGTAATCATGCTGGATGTTGCCCCCCTTCCTCACCCCCTCACCCCTCCCTATTTTTCTTTTGTTTCATTTATTTATTTATTTATTTCATTTTTCACACAGTTCTTTGATTTTTTTTCTCTCGACATTTTATCCATCTCTTGTTGTATCCAAAGCCGTCTTTTTGATCCAATTTTATCCAGGTTCTGCACCTCTCCTCCTCTCTCTTCCTCCTCTCCTCTTTCTCTTCGTCTTTCTGTGCACACACAAAAAAAAACCCCACAACTGGTCGCACAAACACGAACACCTTCTTTACCAACTCTTTCTTCCTTCCTTCCTTTCCTCCTTCCTTCTTTTCCAGTCATCCTCGTCATGCTTATTTTCCCTTTTCTTCCCTTATAGGAAGAGCCCCTTATTTATCTTCATAGGAAAAATAAGACGAAACGTGTGTGTGGTTGTTTATTTGTCTGGATGTGCGTGCTTACCAAGCACCGCTTACATGCGAGAATGCGTGTGTGTGTGTGTGCGCGCGTACGTGCGTGTGTGTGTGCATGCCTCTTTGCATGCCAGTGTGGGACCGTCCAGTCTACATATGTGTCCATGCAGTTATTGACATGTGGGTGGACCAATCGTTGTGCCTGGCGTAAACTAACCTGCCCTCTCATTCACTTCAAGGCAAACTTTAGCCCCGCCTTCTGCGTCCCTGACTCTACCTCACACTCTTCTTCACTCTTTTTGCACTAACCCCCTCCGTCCCCCCTCCTCCCGCC